CCTTGTGTTCCAATAGTTCTTTATATCATTATCAGTCCTCCCCGGTAATTGTGCAGCAATAATAGACCACCTATAATAATAATAATCATGCAAGTTTAGTCAGTAGTATACAATAATCTTTAATATCTTTGTTTAAAATGAATCAAAATATAGGGTTTGGTAACTCTTATGTAGTAGACAAATACCTGCTCCCAATACTGATATAGAGGCTGCAAATAATTTTATCTTCTTCTTCAGAGAATCCTCCATGCTTGATGTTTGGGCGGAGATAGTTTAACCATCTGAGGCGGCAGCTCTTCCCACACCTCTTAAGGCCTAATATACAAAAAATAACCTCCTTACATCGCATCAGATACCATAAAACAAAGTTTTCTCAAGTTATAATCTGATTCGTACTTGAAGAAAAAGCAAGGAAATGAGAAGGAGAGAAGAAGAAAGCACAGCTGATTGAATCTCTTTATTACCAATTTTCTGTGGCAAAGCGATCCAGTTTCCACCAGTACCATGCTGCTCAATATATTCCTTGAGCTTGGCGTCTTCTTCAGGTGACCATGGGCCTTTCTTGACGCTAGCTTTGTCACAGCAAGGAGCTCTCCCCATACTTTCTTAGTACCCCTTTTGGTGCTTCTCTGTCTTTCCACTGGAGCAAGAATTATAGGAGAGAGAGAGAGAGAGAGACAGAGAAGGGGGTTAATAATAAAGCTGGAAAAGGATAAACATGTTTCTGAGAAGATCCATATATGTGGTTTTCAAAAGGGTATGGCATAAAGAAAGGCTTAGGTATAAAAAATTCTAGAAAATTGGAAATGCCAGAACAGGAGAATAGGGTTTTTCTTACTTGTCTATCCTAGCCTAGAATAATACTAATAATCAATTTATTTTTTAAGGGGCTGCTGTTCCCCTTGGAACCGTAAGTCCAATGATATACATCTCCTTACCATTGAGTGGAACGTTACGTTCACATACATTAACACATGATTATCAATATATGTGCACATGGAATTAATCTATACTCTCATCTTAGGATTATATATCACCCTTGTTGCATTATTTTGCAATATTATTTGTCCTATTGTTGAGATTCTGAAATCATAATATAATGATGGTAACCATTGTTTAAAGGCAAAAAAATGGTAGCAAGGAAAGAGAGATAGCAGGAGTATATAATTAATTTGGGGCAACACACTCCCACTAATATTTTAGATATTGAGAGAGGCTTTCATTAAAATTTGCTCCTCATAACATCAGTTTTTTTTTGTATAATAATTAATTAAGACTAATAAAGAATCTTTAGCATGTATAGATAAAGAGAGAGAACTTTGCTCATGACATTGCAAAGTCAAAAATAGTTGCTTTTCAAGCTAATGATACTAATATGGTCAATATATACATCTATAATCACAATTCTATTAAAATTTATGAATTTTTACAAAATATAAGCGACCATAATAAAATATTAATGTATTGTCTGTAGCATTTGTAAAATGTTTGAGCTTTGATACTTGGATATCTCAAAAGGAAACCATCAATCCATAGGCTATTACTGAAGCAAAAATTAATCAGGAGTCGAACAGCGTATGAAATGACAATAAAAAATCAAATAAAAACAAGAGAAATGATGCTTTGAAATTGAGAAGCAAAGGTCAAATCCATCTATCTAATGATGGGAACACATAATCCAATGCTGCATCCTGGAAGAAGTATCAAAATTCTAGACAGTAAGATATTGAAACGATTAAAAGGAGCTTTCCTTCTTGGTAGGTGACCCAATTTAGTGATGCTGTACATGTTTTAGCTCAAAACTAGGCTGCATGCCTTTGCATCCTTGGTGAAGAGACAATGCCCCACATTAATCATGCTTGCACCATAATGAAGAAACAATATGTCCTCATTAAAGCTAATCAGCCATAGAGGATTGTGGAGTAATTAATCAACAACTAAATTTCCACTATTTGTCTATAATTAGAGGAGGAAAAAGTACATCAGCAAATTGTAATCTTTCTTTTTCAGCTTGGAAAATATGGAGAAGATTCACCTTTAAAGTGAACAGTGAGTCCATTTAACAGACAATATGTATATCTATACAATAGAGAAAAGAGGAATCCATGAAATAAGCACAGTGAAGATGCAACGTATTTGCTGGCCAAGAGACCAAGCGTCACATCACACCTCGCTTGACCTTGTCAATAGTTGGCTGTCCTAATAAAGAGCTGATCCTATAGTGCATGACAGATGTGCTATTTATGCACTGATGCAGCCATATTTGAAGGCAGCAAAACGGTTCTCATATCCAACCCCAACTATCTAACTTAATTTTAACCTTTTCCTAGACAAAATCTCACATGTTTCATGGCAAGAACCCCTGAAGTATATGCTTGAACAAAGCCCAAAAAAACAAGAAAGAAAACCCATCAACATTATTTAAGCACTTCACTTTCACTACACTTCACCTCCACTGGATAAGCTTATACACATAGAATAGAGGTAATTTTCTTATTCCCTAAAAGCATCACTACTGAAGAAAAATAGAAATGTGTACATGCTGCTTAAGTGAGTATAAATCTAAACAAAATATCTTATTAGCATATAATTTGTTGTACATATAATTCATTATATTGGTTTAGATTGCGTGAAAGAATGGGATTAAATGAAATCCTTATTATATGTTGAATATTAGGGACAGGAAACAAAGACATACATTGCCTGAAAGGAAAATCAGATGTTAGAAAATTGCAAACACAATGCATTTCCGACCTTCCCACCCAAAAAAGTAAAGAATAATATATATATATATATATATTACTACGTAACAAGGAAAAAGAGGTTTTGATTTGCAAAATGTGCACATGGACAAGGTCAATATAGTAGGTCACCATTAACCTTCTCTTGCTTCCACATTTCCAAGCTTGAATGGACCTACACCTTGGAAAAATCAATCTTCCTTTGACAATCATGTTCCTCAGTACAGCTCAACCCAACTTTCTTCTCCAGGCTCTATTCTCTTTTCCCTGTTTGACAGGCACAAAAAGTAAAAATTATTATTTAGTTTACTGTAAGATGCACAGACAGAATGAACGAAGTGTTGTACATTTTCTGTTCAGAGATTTTCATATTTCTCCCCTTTTCACATCAAACCATTTTTCATGTAAATTGTGAGATTTCTTCCTACTTTTAATCTTAGGTAAGGTGTAAGGTAGGACTTAAGACACATAAGAATACCACTACCCATCTTCTTTATTAAACACCCCATTTTCCAAGAGTTAATTTTCTGCTGAGTTGATCCTATTCGATGCACATGAACTATAGTTTAAAAATTTTCAGTTTCCTCTACTTCAAAATTAAACAATAATAATAACAACAGTAAAGAAATTAAATACAAGAAAAAAAAGTGATTAATTGCCTAATGCATGTGGACGACATTAGGTGGTGCATTAGCCTTTTTATAGGCAATGTACCCGTACTTCAAAAGGCAACTTGTAAAGACAATCAATCCAGTAGTTCAACAATCAGCTGCCTTCGCTCTTTAAAAGGTACGTTGGTGACAAAGACATCAAGAAGCTAGCATGGACACTGCGTGGTGAAAGAACGCCTCCAAAGTAAAGACAGACTCAAGTTAACGGGAATCATGCTTATTAAACTTGTGGCTTCTAATCAGTGAAAGAGAACATAAAAGTTTAGTCTCCAAGAGAAAAAAAAGCACAGGAAAAGACGCATTCCTTCGTCAAACAAGGAAATAAAATGTAGAAAATTACATATAGTATGCCGGACAGAAGACAAGTTTAATTTGGACCTGCATTAATTCATCAGTACTGGTCCATTTTACACAGCTGTAATTCCATGCCTTCCTTCTGAACAATCAATCTCCATTTAATGCCTAACTAGGGTACATACATGCATCGGATGACTTTTCCATGATAAAAGCAAGTGTATTTGTTCAGAATTTGCAATGACTTAAGAGGAACACCTTTCCCTCGTTTCAAGAGCAATTAAACACTAAATATTCATTATGTATTTATTTAATCTCTGTTATAATTCTAATTGTTGATGCATGACCATTTCATAGGGAGTTATAACAGTTTCAGTTCAAATTTCAGTCAAGTGATAGGAACTGAAAGCGGACACTTGAACATACTAAAAGGCCATGATTCTCTTCTTCAGTAATATAAATATTAGGGGCAGTATTAGCCCCTAAGTAGAATTCTGTAATCCATGTATCCTTATTTTTCTATGTTCATTTTTGTAACAACTAATTTGCTTTCTATAGCATCAACAGTAAAGTTCTTATCCCTTCTATTCAGTTGCCAAAAGTGGAAAAGATGAAAATTTAAAATGAAATAAACTTAGCCTAAATAATATAAGAATTAAAAATGAATATCTATTAAACTATTTTCACATTTTCTTCCTGTCCAAGCCTCCTTATTCTGGGTTTGTTTACAAATTGTACCTGTAAGCAAAGTTAAAGGAGTTTAGGGCCCAACTCAGCCTGCTTAGTAATTGGTGCACAGGCCCATACACGCCAAGAACATCAATCAGCCGAAGGCCATGACTGCCAATATTCAAGGATCAGTCCATGTAGACGATTTACTTAAGGCTCACTTCAGGAATGCACAAATCAGCTTAACTGAATTACAATAGATACATCTTTTCCATATGGCAGCCCAAATTCCTATACTGCAAGCTACAACTTATGGTCAAGAAGAATCTGTTCTGGGTATTTCCAATCATTAAACTAGCAGAATTATTACTTGTTCAGTTGTTCTAACTCTTGACAGTTAAAGACTAAAATATTAGGAGTATTGCTCTCAGATGCAGAATTTGGATAGAGATAGACATATGATCATGTTTTAGCCTCTACTTAGTTCATGACTACAACCTTGATTGAATATGTTAGTGATTCTTTATTCTTTACAAGGTATGGTGATTTCCTCTTAAGGCACATTTAATTAACCCCATATAGTCCTACTATTAGATTTTCCATGTTATTCATAAACAAAATTACATAGCTGAAGCCAAACCAAACTTTCCATTAGATGAAAAGGAAAAGAAACATCTATTACCAGTTTTCTTTAGTGGCCATAGCATCCATAGCCACTTGCCAGTTCAAATGTAGTATAAATTATTAAATTTGAGTAGAAAGGAGACCATATTCCTATGCTCCTATACACAGCGATGGGAAATGGGATAGGAATTTACAAACTGCTCCTATATAATAGAGCAAATTAAACTGAAATTATATACGGGACATTGTAAGCGTTAAAGAGCTTAATGGATCTCGACCGTCCATCCTTTTTTGTCCTCAATGCGGCCAGTTTGTAGTCCCACGAGAGTCGAGTACAGTTCTTGACTGACCAACCTACCCTCTGTTTTGAATTCGATTCTGCAAATATGCATAGATTACATGAGTTCATGTTAGGTCAAATAGAGATTAACACTGATTTTCAGTTTTCTTTTTTTTTTTAGGTTGGGGGGAGGTGGGGGTGGGTGTGTGGTCGGAGCTTGCTGTCACTTCTTTTCATGGCATGATTTGCTCAATTCTATCAGTTACCTTCTGTTCTGATGTGTAATACTACCAACTGAAGCAACTCCAACAGCTGTTCCGGTGCAAAAAACTTCATCAGCATCAACCAATTCATCGACTGGAATTGCCCGCTCCTCGACCTAAAACATTTGTCTTGTATTAAATCCTCACCCTGTCTTATTGCAATATTTGAAGACCTAGTTTGTAGATTGGAGGTTAGAAGTATCAGGCAGTCACCTGGTAACCGTAATCCCTGGCGATCTCAATGATACTTTTCCGAGTTACTCCTCCAAGAATAGTTCCATTTGAAGCAGGGGTTGAAATAAGTTTTCCCTGAAAATTTTGATTATTTGAATTAAGTGATTCTCCTTTATAGGAAATAAGTGCATTATACCCCAGCACTAGGCAGAGCCCATGATCTCGGCTGCTTGGATGGAATATTAAATGGTAGAGGGTTCTTAAGGTTCCTTAAGTTGGCATACTAAAAATTTGCTAAAAGTCTTAGCAGTTGTTAGACTGAAATTGTATTACCTTAACAATGAAAATATTACAAGAGGAGACCTCCTCCAGATATTTCCTATTCACGGCATCCAGGTACAGGACATCAGAAAATCCTCTGCTTTTTGCTCTGGCTATTGCTTTCAGCACCTGTTACAATAGAAAAGGCATAAATGCTTCATGAATTTTGTATGGGGTATAGTATCCGTCATTCCGTAAAAAGAAATATGCCTCTACAAATGAAACATTAATAAAGGTTGACATTTTGAACTGTGCAAATGAGAAGGTTTTACTCACTGGAGCGTAGTTTGTGATTGTCTTCACGCCTCCTGCTCCACCAGGAGAAGCCCGAACAAATTCTTCATCAATATATAAGTTCAAAGGTGCAGTACCTTCCTGAATCCAGGATGATCAGAATATATATAAGCCTTTTATGCAAAGCTAAAGTCAAAAAAAAAAAGGGAAAATCACACAAGGATAAAGAAGCCAGTACCTTGAAGTAGTTGCGGACAGGGGAAGCGTAAATAAGAAATGTATATTCCGGGGCTGGTGCCAAACCTAATATAGGACCACTCCCCAAAAGCAGAGGCCTAACATACAATGACCCTTTTCCTGGGGGAGGAACCTACACGTAATCAATGAATCAATTTATCTGCAGTAGGAAGAAATTGAAGGCTAATTATCAGGAGACTAGAAAGATAGAAGCACAATCTTGTTAATTACCCAACGCCTGTTAGCTAACACAGTTTCTTTCACTGCATCAACAAATTGTTCAATGGAGGGAGATGGCATGCACATTCGTTCAGCGCCACGCCTCATGCGAGCTGCATTTTGCTCTGGACGGAACAGAAGAATGCGTCCATCTTCTGTCCTGTTAGCTTTCGTACCTTCATATATGCCCTGGATAGAGTGTCAGCTGAATTAGATAATGGAGCGAATTAGACATTCTCATCATCTTTATCCTCATCTTTAGTCAGAGTTTAAATTTGGGTTTGTCAATCCTTGCGTGTTTAACATTATCAAAGGATCCCAAATTAAAATGGCTGCCTGTTTAACGAAATATTTTACTCATAATTTCTTGAGTTAGGTAAGTGCTCCACTTGTCTCCAACTAAGCAACGAAGTATTTCACCTGTTTCTTCAGTTTTGATTGTCAACTCCACGTTTTTTCTTACTAATTAAAGATTTCAATCCAATTTGATTTGCATATCACACCGAAAAAGGATAAATGGGAAGTGGAGCTTGCCTGTCCATAATTTAAGACCCCTGCTGAAGGGCTTAATTCGATATTGCCATATCGACTGAGCTGTCCTCCTCTAAAATTCTCGTCTTTGAAACATCTCATAACGTACATGTGATCAGCTGGCGTCAGACCGAAACCAAGTTTATCCCAATCCACAGCAGCGTACTCATCGTCACTAAAGCCACCAACTCCAAAGATAAAAAATAAAGTTAAAATATTCACCCCATTGAACAATCAGTTGATGACTTTCGAAGAAGACAAAAACAGGTAGGGTCTTCTCCTTTCTTTTTTTTATTATGTAAAAAGAACCAGTCATTCCCAAAAACAAGATGTTGCTTCAACCATTTAACCTTAAATTTACAATTTGGGTTTATTAACAAGCATGCAAGTGTCCTAATTGGATAATTTCAAACTTGAGGAAAAGCCAAACTCAAATCAGAGTACCCTCATCATCATCATCATCGAATCCCAGAAGATAATATACGGATTCTCAACTCCTTGTTTTCCTTCCAATCTTTAATCCCTAACTTGAACATGGTGAGCCCTATTATACTCCGACAAAGGATAATGAAAAGAAATTATAGAAATGTAATATTTATGTACATGTAACATGTTGACAAGATTTGCAAGAGCTTTGATAATGTCAGAAAGAACTGATCCCGAAGACAACTCCCCCCACGTCTATGGTTTTTCTGTTTGTATCTCTTTCACAAACCAAACCCAATTTTTTTGAGTTAATAATAAACACATTCATGCACTCATAGCTGAAACCAAAAACGCTTTCGTACTACACGATATTGAAAATTATGCACATTTGATCAGACTTGTCAGGCTGCAACCCTGTTTTAGCACAATATACAGGGGAAATGGCAGCTGCCCTGTTTGATGAAATTACCTGTAAACAGATGGTTGACTTCCTGCTGGCAGAGAAGACGCAGCCTGAGAAGTGAGCCCACGGTAATCTGCAAGCTATATGCATGTAACAAAACATATTAGTACTTCTTTGCCTAAATTCAGGGTTTTCCATCTTAGAATTGCACTGAAATTTTATTTGGTCAAATAAAAAAAAATGGAATACAAGATTATTGTCTTTAATTGTTATATTTCAGGATGAAATATACCAACATTATCTGATCCGATAATGAGTGAGAACAAGTGGCGTTCAAGAGATAAAACATTCAATTGGTTTTAATTGTCAAGCTCCAAAGCCCAAACTCTATCATGGTCATGCCTCAGATCACTCCCCTGTTTCAACTATTGAAATTATACATAGTACTATTGCTGCAGGCCTAAAATACGAATCTTGTTGAATTGCACTTTTCAGGTATATCAGATTCCTCATCGCTTATCTCGGATTAAGCCAATAATCTCTTTGTAAGTATGACTTAAACTTGAAAGCTTGAAATGACGAAACTTAGATGGATGATCCTTAGATAATTGTAGAGTTTCAATGATGAGAAACAAAAGTCAACAGACAAAGAAAAACCCAATTATCGTCGAAAAGAGCTTCTTAAACCAATAAACAAGACGATCCGGTTAATGAAATTCACCGATGAGCGGAGAAGGATGATACCAGACACTAAAATGAAAGAAACAACTTTCCATGCAAACAAAAGCAGTAACAATTAATAATAATGATCAACAACGTGTCAGTAAAGAATACTAACAATCAAAAACGTTGAAAGTTATGAAAAGGGGTTAACCTTTACCTTAGATGAAGAAGAAGCAGCTCGCAAGGATTGAACCAGCTTGCGTATGCAAGAACTCCTCTGAACCATGGTTTTGCTTTCTGCAACTGTCTTTGAACAAAAGAACAAAGAAGACCAAGTTGCGGTCTTTAATAAGATTCAGAGTTTGACTAGATGACAGATACAGATTGCAATAAAAGGAGCTGAAAACGAAGAAGGAAATAATTGCTGACTGGTTATTGTAATCCGGGAGAGAGACGTTTTTGGACTAAAAACGGAACAAGGAAGGAAAGAAAGCGCCAAATATATATAAGAGTGGCGTAACACGGAATTATCCACTCCAACCTGACAAATAAAAAAACAAAAACAGGTAGAAAAGAAAAGAACATAAATCTGCTGAAACAAAGTGTAGTCAAGCTGGCAATGGATGAATTAGTGCATATCTGAATCCTATACGATATCTATATATAGCAAAAAAATATACGCATTTACCACAATATACAGTCATATTATCAAATTTGTAAGAACCCATATTTGGAATGATCAAGAGACTCACGTTTTTACCAAGGGTATAAAGTTTATTCAAATCTTAAAATGTAAAAACTATCAAGCACTGAATTAATTTCAATTTGTTTGAAAATTTTGGTATTAGTTTAATATATTTGGATTAATTTGGTCCAAATTATTTACAACCTGAGGGCTACATATTGGCACCCCACTGAAACCTAAAACATTAGGGTAAGACCTTATTTGTAGTAAGGTCTGCTGTGAGGTAATGAATGTCATTACCTCGAGAGAAATTATTATGAAAAATTAAACAATAATATAGTTTTTAAATAAGTTAATAGATAAACAGAAAAGTAAAAGAAATATTTATTTATTTATTTATTCATTTAACAAACAAGATAAATATTCTATCTTACTTATTTTTATTGAGTTTTACAAATAAATATATTATAATTAAAAATTTGGCATAATTAAGTCACATCTTATCTATTATAGTAAATATATTTTGTTAACTTACACATTATTTCTTTATTTACATATCAAATACTATAACAATTAATCATAATAATTAAGGTTATCACTGATTATTATACTTAATTTTCAGCATAAATTATTTTAAACAATAAAAATTGGCTTGAACAACATAACAAAAAAAGATAGAGGTAAACGAAAATAATAAATATTTTAATAAAAATAGATAAAGAGTAGTGGTTTTGATTTTTTTTAAGTAAAATTTACATATCACATATTAAATTGGAGACATGATTTTGTGTTTGGGACGAAGATAATATCTATAAAATAGTGTTTGGGGTGAAGAAAATATCTATAAAAGAGTCATATTAGAAGTTTAATGTTAGACAAAAATCTAAAGTAATTTAGATAAAAAAATTATATGAAAATTATACAAATAATTTCAACTACAAAACAAAGATATTTTTTAACAATTATTGCATACTAAGATTGGATATTGAGTTGAACGCATTTATTACTGAATCCATGTTAAAGACTCGAATGATTTTCTTTTTATAAATCTCTTTCTTAACAAATTTCACAACAAAAAATCCCGACCGGAAGCAATCCCCCAAAATATATTAAATGCTATTAATAAACAACTGAATGAAAGCAATTCCTTAAAATTAATCACTAAAATTAAATACAATATTAATAAACAATTCAATAAGAAAGCAATTCCCAAATAAAAACTTTAATTATTCATAAGAATCTAAGAAAAAAAAACACAAATAATAGGGAAGCAATCAAGCAAAAACAATCCCCAAATAAATAAGTAATAACTAACCTTAGTACCTAATCAAATCTTTGTTTTGCTGCTAAATCAAAATCATTAAGTAGAAATTATTAAATAAAAAAAAGTTTAAATTTAAAAATATTAAAATAAAATAAAATAAACTAAACTTACCAATTATCATAACATAAAAATTGAGTTATTGACTAGAGGTTTCCTGCCAAAGAATGGTAAAATGACTTTTTGTTTCTATTTGGTAAAAGCAAAGAGAACAAGAGGTAGTGGTTATGAGGTTTTAGAGAAGTGAGGTTTAAAAATAATTCTATTGTAATAGGTTTTATTTTAATTCTACATCTCTTAAAATTAGTTGTTAACTAATTATTATATGATATCTCACCAAATAAAATATTATTGTAAGGATAACATTATAAAATTTCAAAAAAATAAAGAAAGGTTAAATTTTTTTTTTATAAAGGTAAAATTATAATTTTTAAAAAATAAAGATATGTTTTAAAAATTTTAAAATATTTGGGCGTCTACTAACCCCCTCCCCTCCCCCGTTGCATGTAAATATATCATATTTGAACACTTAAAATAAATAAATTAAATATTTATTATCATTTATGTTATTTTTATTTTGATATAAGAAATTAATATTTGTGTGAGTTTTAGAAGTAGATTTATTCGACACAAATTAAGTTTATTTGTTTGTGTACAGAATTAATTTATCAATAATAATATCATGCCTTTTCTTAAGACAAATTTGATATGACCTAAAATTTTTATTTAATCATGACACTTCTTACCTAATTTATGTCACATACTATATATTTTTGCAATTTAGATTATTTATGTTTATAGTTATTTTAATTATGAGAAGTGTTAAGTTTATTATTTTTATCAGTGTACTTGACATTTACGTCGAAAACTGCTTTTCGCAAGGCAAAGAGTTGATGCATTCCTCATCAAATCAAAGTACAAAAATCACCCTGCGGGCGGAGCAAATTTACAAAAATGCTTGCTCCGAATGCTAAAAAACGCCATCGAAAGAGAGCCCTAAAATAGTTGCAAAAGATTACAACCAACACAAAGGCTCCATCTCAGAACCAGAATAGACTACCCCAAAGAACATTTATAATGGTTTTAAAAGTTATATAACTTTTAATTTGAGTTTTAATTGGCATCTTACTTGTTTAGTTAGACTATTATCAGGTTATATTTATTTTGTAGAACCCCAGTTTGATACACAAGGGTAAAATGGAAAATTTACCTAATGAGGTAGAGACAGCGCCTTATTCTGAGCACAATCAAAATATAAAGATTAACCTTTAACAATATTAAAACGAGTCAAAAGGGTTATTTGGAGGATAAAGGAGCAAGGAAAATCAAGAGAAAGGCCATTTAAAGCATTCTGGTCTTCAAGATGGACCCTAATAAATAGGGATCAACGCCCACAAGTTTCTAGGCCAGCATTGGCCCTGCCCACTCATTTTGTTTTCTTTTTCCAGAGCTTTTCATTCTGCTCTCCTCTCTTCGCCCTGAACTCTCTCACTCCTTTTGCCCCTACAACCGCTCTTTAAGTTAGGCCAATTGGAGCACTAGGAAGTTGAATCTACGGTGAGGTTAAGACTTTGCAACTTTCAACTTAGCTAGTTTAGGTCCTAACTTAATCTTTTCATAATTTTAGCTTGTCTTTCTCTCTCTAAGCCAAGAGTTGGTGCTGGAAATTCTCTCCAATTTGGTCATCAAGATTTCATTGAGATTCTAAGGATCAATTTGGAGCAAGGTGTGTTGAGTTACTTGTGAGAGTAAGAAGGAAGAGTGAATTGCATTTAAACTATTTTACTATGAAAATGTCCATGAATGGTGGTTTACATGCTCACTCAAATTCATGTTTCAATGTTGAGTTCCAAATTGAGATTTTTGATGAAATTATCCATTGAAAATGTTTTGATATTATTGCATATACTAGGACGATACCCGTAGCTACGTTCCGATGAAATATAGATTATGTTGGAGTGAATTTGAATTTGGTACTTTCAAAAGAGTTTGTGAGGAAAACTATATTGTATTACTGAACTGCATGAATATATAGTTTTTGTTGTTAGAGGAAAGATAAACTGATATTAATTGAAGATAATTATTTACTCTGGTTTGAATTATCGAACATCTGCACTTATATATATAGTTATAAAACAGTATTAATCCAAAAAAAAACAGTAATCTTATCAAAGATTGTTAGATGCATAATAAATTATTAAGAAATGAAAGAATATATAACCTGTACTATTAACAGATTAAAATAAATAGTTATAGAATAATGTAAAATGAATATAATAAAAAAATCCTATTAGTATAATATAGTTACTAATTTCTAATAGTATTTATTTTTTACATATAAAATGAATGGCTAAAGATTGTCAAATTCAATTGACTTGTTTATTCAATGATGACTATATACTATGCATTTTGAGAAATAAGTAGGCATTTTTTACTTTTTATTTTATTCATTGAATTGGATGGATATTTAATAGAATTTAAACATTCATGTATAAAAAAGATATTTAAATACTATAGATTCAGGTTCATGCAAAATAAGAGGATATAAATAAAAAAAATTAAATTGTAATTGATAAATATTAAATGAATTTATCCTCTAAGTATTAAAAGTTAGAAATTATTATTTTTAAATATTATTTATTGAAATAAATAAAAGAAAAAAAACCTTAAAATGTCAAAAACTACATAGTTTTGACATAAGATAATAAAAAAATTAATCCAATCGAGAATGGTAGGTGTTAATCAATTAATCCAATCAGTTATCTATCTTTTATATATATTATAGATATGTATATGACTATACTATATGGTATTTAAAATTGTATAAGGGACAAGCCTTTTAAAGACATTTCTTAAAAGTTATCAATTTTTTATGGAAATGGTATGCGAGCCACATGGTTGATGCACTTCAATTGTGGTTGCAATGTATAGATGAATGAATAAGCTTGGAATTGATGTTGATATGTGCAACTTTGGAATAAGGTTTGTTTTAGGTGGGAATTGACCTTTAAGTGAGGAGGTGTAATGGTATGAATAAGAAGCACAATGCTTGATGCCTATTTACCAAGATTTGATGTTAGGCATGTACAACAAAGTAAGACACATGCTTGTTATGCCTCTTTAGCAAGACTTGGTGTTAGACATATGTTTTGTGTGTAGGAGTGAGTAATTAATCAGTTCAATCGGGTTGGTTTGTCATAATTAAGGACTAAATGAACCAAATGTTTTTCGAAAATTGACTAGAACTGACCAAACTTAAAAGAAAATCAAACTGATCAAACTTAAAAGAAGATGAAACCAATCAAATATTAAATTGATTTAGTCGATTAGGTTTTGGATCAAAAGAATCGAAGTTTTGTCACTTTTGTCTTTCGCAAATTATAATATTGGAATTTATAAACTTTATCTATAATTATAAAATATACAAATAATCTATAAAATAAGATCATCTAACACAAGACAATCAACCATCACATATCATCAACTTGGTAATAGGAAATATATATTATATATATATTTTAAAAATATAAAAAAAATATTATATATATATAAATTATTAGTTTGGTCTTTTGATTGATTTGGTTCAAAAATTTTAAGATCAAGAATCAACCAAATAAATCAATTGGACAAAACTTTTTGGACCAATAAATCCAAAAAACCAATTGGACTGAATAATTTTACCCAAATTACATTCGATTCAGTTGGGTCATTAGTCCGGTCCAATCGTCCTCACCTCTAACTACATGAGACACATGCTTGATGCTTATCTAGTAAAGTTTGGTGCTAGACATGTGTAATGAGTGAGATACGTGCTCGATGCCCTATGTAGTGGGGGTTATGGCATTACTCGATTGGTTGAAAAACCTTTAGCTTGAACCTTATTTATTTGAAGTTCTATTTAGGTGAATAGTTAGATTGAATCTTGGAATGATGGTCGATTAAGCTATTGTGGGTTTGGATTGTGATCCTCCCTTTATGAAGTAATGTGGTTTGATAATTTGATGGTATTGAGCTTATGAGAAAACGTATGATGGAAGAAGGTAAATTCCATCTTATTGTGTCAAGGTTAGAGTTCAAAAGCACTCAAAAATTGTATTCTATTAAGGAGGGATCAACCCTCAAGAAGAGAAAGGTTGATCCTTACCATCCAGAAACTGTTTAAAAGCTTTCTGTCTAGGAAGGATTGGATCATAGTGTAGAAAGGGTCAATCCCCGACATCTAGTAGTCAATTACAAGTTTTTTGTTAAGGAGGGATCAACCCTCGAGGGAAAAAAAGTCAATCCTCAGAAGATAGAATCTACAAGATAGATTCTATGCACCAAGGATTGGCCCCCTTAGGTCAAAGGGTCAACCCTTTATAGCATAATTGAGTTATGCATTCCTCTTGAATGCCTTACAAGGGTCACTGGTTGGTTTTTTTTCTCCCAAATTCCAAGGAAGTTTTCGTTCATGTATAAGCTCACTTAAATGATGCATAACACATTGTCATTCATGAATTGAATGTGATTTTGTTTTGAAAAGCATGCTTAGTTTGTTACCTTACATAGCCTGGTTTGCAAACAAAGGCACTATATTATTAACGAAGCATGCTTAGTTTGTTACCTTACATTTTACTCACTAAGTTACACTCACATTTTCAAACCTCATGGTTTTTGTTTTTAGATACGTGACTTAGCTCGAAACGCCATCTGAGGAGGGATCCTCAAGTCTCATTTGATAGGTATGACTAGTAGCCAACTATGGAGCTTACCTATCACAAGTTGAGTTTCACTAATGAGTCTATTTTCGTCATGTAATTACGGTTGTTGGTTTACACTCCTATTTTGTAGCCAAGCATGGCAACATACTTTGATGCACATATGTATAAACATGTATATGTATATGTATGATATGTGAATTAGTGTAATGGCTCAAGAGCCCATGTGAGCATGTGAGTATGCGAAATGGACAATGTTATGATTGATATATGTGAGAGTCGACTTGAGTTAGGTGTCAGTGATAAATGAATGTACATCTATATTTTCTTCTAGATGAGGTCTACGAACATTCTAGTATACTTGTGAAGGTATTGTGTATAGGCATGCTCAACGAGTAAAGCTTGCTTGGATTAAAAGGGTCTCGGTTTCTTGGTCCTCGTGCCGGTCATGACCCAAGATAGGGAGATGGGGTCATGACATATTCTTACCTTCCATTTATGTTTATAATTATCATAATTTATTTTAAGTTGATTATGACATTTGTTACACATTCTATATTAGATGTTATGCATTTTTATCTTTATAGTCACTTGTTTATTAATATAATTTTTAAAAAATTATTTTTGTAACTTTAATGATCACAATAAATAGAAAAAATATAGAATTAAAAAAAACAAAGAAAATGATTAAACAGATTAATAAGTAAATAATATGATTAATATTTTTATTTATTTATTTATTTCAATAGTATGAAAATTTTGAAGATATAACTCATCCATGTACTTGCATCATTAGCAAAACACATATATCACTAAAATTTATTCATCTATTAAGAAAATTTGAACCTAGTCACCACACTAGCTTTGTGCAAGTAATTTAATTTTACAACATCCACATATCTTTTTTATCACCAAACGGTCAGTATGAAGTTTTTTCTTGGTAATTGAATGAGGAAACTATTTGGTTTCAAAATAAAGATTTTCATGTTGATAAAGCCTTGTTTCGATTGTGAGAAGAAGAAATTAAAATTCTAAGTCTTAAAACTCGAGTTTCACCATAGGTTATTTTGTTGGGTTTTTATTATGATTGCTATTTATACAACTATAGAAAAAAAATTAAAATTTTCATTTACAATCTTTCCATTTAAACCATCGAAGTTAAGCTTAGGATAAAAAAAGGATATCAAATCTTGAACCTACGTCTATTTCTTATTACCATTCCACCATTGAAGTTAAACTTAAGAAAAGAAAGATATTAAATCTTGAACCTATGTCTATTTCTTACAAGGTGATTAGTTATTTACTATCCATAAACTAGTTTCATCTCTACATAGTAAATTGTATGTTATAAGCGTCAATGCTAGCACATTAACTCTTATCTTGCATTATAACTAGACCTCCAATTAATATATTTCCATGTTGCTAACGGTATTTTTTAATTTATAGTAATAATAGTAAACCATTTATTGAAAGACTAATCTTTATGATAATGTAATTTTCACGAGAAATCATAATTTTCTAATTTTCAACAAAGTACACTTTTGTTGATAAGGGTTTTAAAATATTTTTATAAGATGTCCAATAATTACCCATCAATTAAAAGCTCATAGTTGAAAAGTTGAGGGTTAATTTCCACTTAACATATATATATATATATATATATATATATATATATATATCCAAATGAAGAGAAAAGAAAGTGATAAAGTGGGGTAAAAAAAGAATAAAACAACCTTGTATGAATTATATTTAAATAAATTCAAATCATATTTTTGTCTAATAAAAATTGTTAAATGTTATGTATTAACTTGAGGATTTTAGGAAGTACACGCTAATAATACCTTTTTCTCTAAGCTACATTAAATCCATGATAGGGTCACGTGCTAACATATGAACTCAAAAATTAACACGAGGATGTGGTAATGCTGGAATCTAAAATTTATGCCGACTTTGATGAAAAAACAGTTGTGGAGAGAACAGTATTTTGAAATAGCTAACCCTTAGACCAAGTAGGGATAGCAAAGGGACAGACGGCCATTAAGAAGCTTTAATTTGGAACTTTCAAAAGGATTGATGAGAGAAGTTATAGAACACATAGCATAAAAGGAAAGCTAGTCGAATCTAGTCTTAGGACTCGATTGACATCTAACTACTATTTTTTTATTATTATAATATGGTAAATCAATATTAATTCTGACGACTATCAGTATTAATGGAATTTTAGCCTGACATCTCTGACATTTAAACATGAAGGAACTGCTTTTAATATTATTAATTTATCTTAATGATGTGGTATAAATTTATTATTTATGATTTGATTTATGATTATAAATTTTTCTTGTAAAGTGTGATTATTGCGTAAAATAAATTAATAATGTTTTTTTTAATAAGAGAAAGAGATTTAAAGTTTACTTTATAAATAGAGAAATTATATATCAATTAGTGAATCAAATACTCAAATATTAAAAAAAAATTTTATTTATAAGTTAATAGAAAAGTAGGTTAGATTACGTAGCATCACTCTGCTTCTTTACATTTGTCTCGTAAAGAATTATGGAATCTTGATAATCCAGTCCTTCTTATCTTCAATTTGGCCTGTTTGAATGCCAACGAGAGTTGAGCCTAATTCTTGGCAAATGGAGCATTCACCCACTTTGAATTGAATCCTGTAGCACATGCTAATAGATGTAAGGTAATTCTAGCAAGAGAAAGGGATGTTTTCATTTTATCAGTCCTTTTCTTTTTGATTGAGCAAAAATAGGAAAAAGTATTTGGTAGTAATCACCTTCTGCCCGTGTATGTAACGCTACCGACTGAAGCAACACCCACAGCAGTCCCAGTGCAAAAAACTTCATCAGCATCTATCAATTCGTCCACTGATATAGCTCTTTCCTCAACCTGATCATCGAATTCAAGAAGTATTTTCCTCTTTTATATGGTTTTGCATATTTTCAAAGGTGCTAAGCTGTGTAAAAGTTTTGAGTTAATTATGTTACCTGCAAACGAAAAAGAATCCGAGGATGAGAGGTGGCTTGGAGAGCTTATAATTCAGTAATGAACCTAGGATGTCGAAATGACAATATTGACAATTACAATCAAAAGAAGACAACTTATTCTAGATATTTTTAAGCAAGAAAAAGAAAGGCAAGTTGTCGGACAAGGGAATTATGGAAGATAGTTGAAATAAGTAACATCAAAGTAACAAACGAAAGAACAGAACAAGCAGCCGCCGAGTCAATGAAGAGACTGAGCTTTATTATGTGCACAAATTAGCCACCTGATAACCAAGATCATTCGCAATGTCGATAATGCTTTTACGAGTGATTCCAGGAAGAATAGTCCCACTTGTAAGAGGGGTTGCAATAACATTCCCCTGCAAAGATTGAAACATGAGGTTAATGATTTTATGAGAATGACGTTTGTTATATATCTCACTCCTGTTTTGCTCTTGGTAGATTACATTTTTCTCTCCATTGTCCAACTTCTTCTATTCGATCAGGCAGCAAAACAGGGACAAGTGTCTAGGGTGTTGGACATTTAAAAATTGACATTAAAAGAAAATCTGATCTGAAGTTATACCTTGATAATGAAAATGTTGGAAGCCGAGAGTTCCTCCAAATATTTCTTATTTACTGAGTCAAGGTACAAAACATCAGAAAATCCCTGGCTTTTTGCTCTGATTAGTGCTTTCATAACCTACAAATAAACTCAGAGAAACCTTGACATCCTTTCAATTAACCTGGTATGCTTATACAAAGTTATTAAAGATGGAAAGTAAACAATGGCCCTCACCGGCGCATAATTTGAAATAGATTTCACTCCTCCAGCTCCACCAGGAGAGGCACGAATTAATTCTTCTTCAACATATAAGTTCAAAGGTGCATTACCTTGCTGTATCAACAATTTAGTATAATTCATCTCACATTTGACGTTAAAGCTGAGATTAATTATATTTAAAAAAATAAAAAAATCAAACACCACCTTGAAATAGTTGCCAACAGGGGAAGCATATGTGAGGAACATGTATTCAGGGGCTGGAGTAATGCCCAAAACAGGACCGCTTCCTATGAGCAAAGGTCTAATGTAGAGGGACCCTTTTCTTGATGGAGGAACCTGCTCAATCTTGCCAATGAGTTTAATCAAAAAGAAAGAAGAAAAGGGTACTTAGAGAAGAATAGACTGGGAATTCAATTTCCTCTGTTTCAAAGTTGAGGATGATTACCCAACGCTTATTAGCAAGAACAGTTTGTTTCACTGCCTCGATAAACTGATCAATGGATGGAGAGGGCATACACATTCTTTCAGCACCAATCTTCATGCGGATGGCATTTTGATCAAGACGGAAGAGAAGCAGGCTCCCATCTTCTTTCCTGTTTGCTTTTATACCTTCAAAAATACCCTGGATATGATAATTTCATGCAATAACTACGATGTGTTTAGACGTGTCAAAGTTTATAGTTTAATGAAGAACAAACGAAGTCAGTTCCAGTTGTAGATCTCGTCATTGGAAAGATTTATCAGGTTGCCCTGTCCTATCCGGCCTTGAGGTGTATATAAAAATAACTTAATTTTATATTTTGATTTGTATGTTAATGATTTTTTGATTAGAACTAACATGAGAGATTGTTTAGATTATAAAATCAAATCGAATAAACTATGCCTTACTTCATGCAAACTATACTAATTTCAAAGTTAATTGTCATTCTTAGAAAGATCTAGTACGTGCTTTTTGCTTACAATTGCAATTAATGCGAACGACTGAAATAGGTACAAATTTTTATTCTGTTCGAATTTGGTCCAATTACGTAATGAATCTCCATATATATTACAAAAAAAAAAGAAAGAAAGAAAAGCTAGGCTGAAGCTTCAAGCTTGCTTACCTGTCCATAATTTAAGACTCCTGCTGAAGGGTTGAATTCAATGTTCCTGTAGCGACTAAGCTGTCCTTGGGCAAAATTTTCATCTTTCGAACATTTCATGATGTACATAAAATCAGTTTGCACCGGACTAAATCCAAGATTATCCCAATCCATGCCAGCATTCTCATCATCTCTGAAGGCGTCCATCAAAGACCAAGAGCCACAAGCACAAGGAAATTAAGTAGATTAAGATTAATTAGTTCAAAAATGTTATTTTTAGTATGGTTTTTAAGGGGGTTGGAC